AAAGTAAAAAGATCTGTCCTTTATTATCATTTTAAAGATTTTGTTTAGAAAAATGAGGCTGATCAGTCGCGCAGTGGGTAGCACTGCTACCTTGCAGCAAGAAGGCTCTGGTTTCGATTCCTCGCCCGGGGTCTTTCTGCATGGAGTTTGCATGTTCTCCCTGAGCATGTGAGGGTTCTCTCCGGGTACTCCGGCTTCCTCCCACAGTCCAAAAACATGGCTGTTAGGTTAATTGGCTTCCCTAAATTCTCCTTGTCTCTGTGTTGCCCTGTGATTGACCGACGACCTGTCCAGGGTGTACCCCGCCTCTCGCCCATTGACAGCTGGAGATAGGCACCAGCATCCCTCGTGACCTCACCCGGGACAAGCGTGTCAGATAATAGATGGATGGATGGATGGATGACCCATTGGCATCATTATGTATTTTCTCAAAACGAAAAGGATATAAAGCAGAAAACAAGAACACAAACTGTGGCCCCAGTGGCCTAATGGATAAGGCACTGGCCTCCTAAGCCAGGGATTGTGGGTTCGAGTCCCATCTGGGGTGGTACAGTTTTATGGGGAGGGGTGATCTAGAGGTGCAGACATAGACCTTGCTGTTTGAGGTTCTGTATTCGAGCCCACAGTGCTCTCCAGGTGCCCGCCGGGCGCCGCACAATGGCAGCCCCTACCCCTAAGTTTAAATGCAAAGGTAATTTCTCTAATTACCTCTTGGTAAAAAAAAAAATTCTGCTATTTTTTTTTATATTATTATCTGGATGGAAACTTGTTGCTGTCTCTTATGTCAGCCAATATTATTAAAATTGTATTTTGTAGAACACTGCAAAAACCTCGCGACCCCACTTGGGAGTAAGCGCATTAGAAAATGGATGGATGGTTTAAAAAATGAGAATTAAAGAAAATGTTTTTGGTTTGCTTTCTATAGATTCATTATGTTATAATTTGCTATAAAGAAAATATAGTTTACTTAACTAGATTCAAACCTAAAGCTGAACTTGAACATGAAAAAAGTAGATAAAACAGAAGATAATGATGTGGTACTAACATTGTTAAATGCTAAGGCATTCCTCCCTTCTGATTTACTGATAAAGAAGCACATGTATGCCAAGCTCGTCCCCTAGCTTGAAATTTTTTTTTACTTTTTTAGAAATACCTCCATAAATATCTGTGTTGCAGAAAATGCAATGGTCACCATGTCATTTCTGCATAGACTTTACGTCAGTCTGAATTTATTAACTAGGAAGTCAATGCGGTAAACAAACTTTGCATCATCAGAGCAAGTTATTTAGGCCAATATAGTCATAATCTAGAGTAGATGTAATTGTTCTAAGCAGAGGGATTGACTATTATACTTTTAAGATGCTCCGCTGGACTGGATTGGCTTTGAATTTAAAAACAAAAACTATATATTTCAAAGCAGTTCCCATGTGACACGTATGTCTTATAGAGCAGATCTTAACAAGTCATTTCTCTTTGTGTTAACATTTGGTGCATTTCTCTTTTTAGAATAGCACATTTATTCTAGTGGTCAGCAGATACCACAGAAACACATGCACAGGTTTGGGTAAATATAGCAGTTGGCTTGCTCTGTCATAGTTAAAGTTTAGTCTAGAAAGACCGTCGCTTTTATTCGTAATGTGTTCATGATGGCGACTGAAAGGCTACGCCGGACAATAATTGCCAGGAGTTTTACTCAAAGAATTAAGCGCCTCACAGGAGCAAAGGTGAGATAAAAAAATCAGCTTGAAGAGAAAAAAAAATCTTTTAAAAAAGAGGTATTTTGAGGGGAGTTAACACACTTATGTGTCAGTATAATCAGTTTCAGCAGCACACAAACACTCCTTCATCAGATTGTGTCACTCGTATTGACCTTCTTTAAACAAATTCATTGTGATGATCTGGCTCTGCTTTACATGCTGTCCTCCTCCCATGTGGAGCTCTGTTCCTTTACGCGTTACCCTTGTCATGTGAAAACTGAGCATGTAGTCTGTATGGAAGGAAAACACGATGAGCTTCTGGTGAAAGGTTGCTGTATTAAAGTGGGACACTGAAGTTAATGCATGACAGTTATAGAGAAGTTTAAACCCGTTTCAGTCCACTGCAACTGCTCTGTCTTTTTCACTCGTTAGTATTTATATTGTTGTTAAACTTTCGATCTAGTACGTAAATAAACACAAAAATAGATTATGCAGTTCACACACTTTTTTAAATGTATGCTTTTTGTAGACATTGGGTTTTATTGGTTCTACATTAGAACTGAGGTCTGGGTACAAGGCAAAATAAAAACAACAAGGCTTAGTTATTGATTATGGGTATGAAAGGAACGCCCAAGAAGACTGTTGGGTTTTTTTTCAGCGCTAGACTTCCTGTGTTTCAGTTCGCTGCAGAAGACCCATATATGATGAACTACAGCTCAGCTTAATGCTGGGGTGTGGTTCATCCAACAACAGTTGGTCCTTTTAAAAGGTTGTTATACTTTACCTGGTACTTAAATGGTTCTCAGGCTTTGTTTGACGGCTATCTAAAGGATAGCTTAGCAAGATTTCAGGATACCCATGGATTCTTGAAGGATATCTTTCCAGATAACCAATAGGTACTAATAGGGGTACAGAGGGGATGTTTACAGGCAGGGGGGGATTTATCATAAGGCAATACTAGGCAGTTGCCTACTCTGTTTACATGTATGGTTAATACAACCATTCCTTATTTGTGCACATTAAGTATGTTTTTGATAAAAACCCTTTCGCTAAAATGCCATCAAAAAGCTTATAATATTAAGTGTGTCTCAGCCCCCCCCCCTTTCGGTGTCCACCATATTGGATCAGTCCATTTGCTGCACATGTTCAGAAAGGTCCAAACAGACAGCAGCAAACCATTTGAAAACAAATGATGCAAAGAGCAGTGTTGCCGTGCTAATTTAGCTCTTTAGTCGCTATATTTAGCGATTTCTCAGGCCCCTCTTGCACTTTTATTTCAAAAAAGCGCCTAGGGTCAAATCTAACAACTTTTTTCTGTTACTACAGACTTTGGCGAGAACATCTAAAAGCAGCGAACTTTGCTCTCCAGAGCGAGTAGATTGGTAACCCCGCCTCCTGCTCTCCTCTATCTTGTCTGCTGTCATGATTTGTGCAGCTATTATTTCATCCAAATGAAAAATGGAGAACAGATAAGCAGATCGTGGTTTGTCTAAAGTGAAAAGAAGGACTGTTGTATTTACTTTTGCCATCGCCTTTTTGGAAACACAGGAAGGAGCAATCAGCTAAGTGAGCTTAGTGCTTGGAAAAAATCTTTCAAGAAAAGTCAGCTGAGTACAAACAGAGAGGAAAACTACAAGAAAAAGGACAAGAAGAGAGGGACAAAACCTAGAACAAATAATGTATGTCTGTGTAATGGGTCTGTTTTATGTGTTGTCTTCTCAATTCAGAGGGCTCCCTGGCTGTCTTTGCCTAGGGCCCCAAATTTTCTAAATCCACTCCTGCTTACAGGATCCTACACGGTATACCTACAGGGGGAAAGTTTGAGGAATGGATTCCTAAGGTACTTATTGGGTACCTTTTAGTATTCCTGTTTAATACCTACAGGGAACCATTGGCTTGTTAAGGAAAATTTCAATTCAATTTAATTCAGTTTATTTATATAGCGCCAAATTCACAACACATGTCATCTCAAGGCACTTTACAGTTCAACCAGATCATACAGTCAAATGGATACAAAGTTTTCTATCTAAGGAAAACCAGTTGATTGCGTCGACTCATTGACTCAAATACAATCCCTCACACTAAGCATGCTTGTAGCGACAGTGGAGAGGAAAAACTCCCTTTTAACAGGAAGAAACCTCCAGCAGAACCAGGCTCAGTGTGAGCGGCCATCTGCCGAGGCCGACTGGGGTTCAAGGAGACAGAAGCAGAGACACAAAAGAAGCTGCATGACACAAAAGAAGCTGCATGACACATGCAGGACATAAACCTACAGATAGGATTCTACTGTGCATTTATTTTCACCAGTTTCATAGAATCATATTAATTCAGCTGGGCGTAAATCACAATATATTAATGGCAGTAATGTCTTCTACCATCAAATATCTGCCTGTAAAGCATTTGGTAACCATGGTGACTCAGATGAGCTAGTACAGGGGTCTGCAACCTGTGGATCTGGAGCCATAAGCAGCCCTTTGTAATCTCTGTAATGGCTCTTAATTGTGGCCTAAAATGATAGAGAGGCAACTATTGTGGTATGATAACAAATGCCAGTCTTTGAAGCTTTTGGAAGTTTTTTTTTTAAGAATATTTAATTGAATTTTCTCAACAAAATTACATTAAAATGGCCAGAAATATGTTTTTAGATCTACTTTTCTTATCATTATCTTAGAAATTACGTGGGTTTTTGTTTAGATTTTTTTTCATCATATAATACCCTATGGAAAAATACATGCTTGATATTCATGAAATGTTTTACTTTTTCAAAAGCTAAACATTCAGATGTTGGATCTTTCAAATGGCAACAGAGTTCCTATATAAGATATATAACAAAAGATAATAAGCTGTGTTTTATTAAAAGGGTTTCTAATATTTGCGGCTCTAAACGACTTTTACTCAGCTGAACTCTCGACAAATGGACTAATCTAAAGGTTGCAGAACTCTGAGTTAGTAGATCAACATTGCTGACCTTCTCTTGTTGCCTGGGCAGTGGAGGATGTGTCAATTTCACTGTTTACATTCGGAATATCTGTCATATTGTGAGAGCCATGGGTTTTCATAGGTTCTTAGTCAAAGGATTGGGGAAAATATCTACATTTTTGGTGCCACTAAAACTTTATTCCAGCTGTATCACTTCATTTAGCGTGTAAGAACTCCCCCAGATTATGACCTTATTGGCACTGAACAGGTAGCTGGTAGGTATGCTATAGCGTACCTGTCTTTTACAGTCGAAGCGCTACTAAATGTCTTCTGATGTCGACATTTTTCCTTGTTTTTTTAAATATTCTTTTTCCTTTTCTACAGGTGGAGGATAAAAATCTCCGGACAGCAGTGTACGTCAACGTAGCACAGCTTCGCCAAAGCATCTCCGAATCTCCCCCATCGGATCCCTCCCCCTGCTCGCCTTCCTCCCTAACACAGGAGGGATGGGAGGTTCATGTTGACGAAGAAAGTGGACAGAAATATTACTTCCACCCCGACACGGGGCGCACCACCTGGGACAAACCCTTTTTAGACTCCCCCACGGACCCTGAGCGGCTCCCTCCAGAGGTACCTTGCTCTCCGTCCCCCCCTCCATCTGACTGGGGCTCAGACTGGGAGCAGCTGGTGGATGAAACCACTGGTCGGCCTTACTTCTATAACCACATGTCCGGGGAGACGTCCTGGGACCCTCCTGAGCAGCAGAGCCCTTACCCCCCTCCAATGGAGCCTATGAGCATGCACAGGTTTCCCGATGACGGACCGGTAAGGACAGACAGCCTGGCTGCTCTACTTAGGCTTCCTCTGTCTCCTGTTTTAGCCTCACCCAGCGGCAACCTAAATACAGTCTGCTCTTAATGGAATGAAATGTCCTGCACCTACATTACAGACATGACTTAATTCATTATATCTGCACAGAATAGGCTCACCAGTCGTCCCAGATGACTTCTCTAAAAGAACATTTGACCTCATTTTGTTCTTAAAACAAAACTAGTAAAATAATTATTTGAACAGATTTCAAGGACAATGACTCAATATAAGAAAATTTGACCACAGTAGTACACATCTTTATGAAGATCCTCTCTTGGTCTTTTTATAGCTACATCCAAAGCAGCAATGATCCCATTTTTGCCCTTGAATGACTTCATGTGAGCGATAAAAAGAGGAAGAATGGGCTGAGTTAGAATGGCACATTAAGGTCATGGAAGCTATTGCAACTTGTTTTTATGAGAGTTTAGCTTTGAGATCATTGGAGTGAGTCAGTGAACTCATCATTCAGTGACTGCAATGAGTTGGAAAAGATTAAACAAACAGTTTGTGTAATACGCTGAGAAGTGGGAGTGAATTAATGGAATAACTTACGCATGCTTGTTGAAATTTCTGTCGAGATGTCAAAAGATCACACATTGTTATTCAAGACTTTATCACATGGCTTTCACTCTCTTAAACTAAGGGAAGGGTAAACAAACAAACTTTATTTTTGAAATCATAGTTTACTATGTTTTTGGTCATCTTCAGTTAAGAGTATGATGTAAAAATGTTTCATCGCATTGAAATTTGGCCACTGTGGAAGTGATTGGAGATGTCTGCTTCTATTTTTTTATTGATAAAACTGAATCCGGGAAACCCACTGGAGGGAGGGATTGCTGGAAAGGACAGACAGACGGATGGAATAATAGATAATTCAATCTGAAAAACTCAAACGAAGAGAAAAGACAATTAGAAGAAATTTATTGATACAATTACTTGGTCTTTGGTGCTCAGACCTCGGCAGGAAACATAGCACTGAATTTTGATAGATATGCATGAACAGGAGTAAAGAACAGGGCTGTTTCCCCTAGAACTGAAACTGGTGGTGGAGTGGAGATAGATGAAGTTGGTCAGTCTGTAGACTGCTGGTTAGCAAGACGGTACCCTGAGCTTTATGGGGAGATCCAGTGGACTGAGTGAGCTGATACTATAGATCAGGGAACTGGAAGATGGAAGTCCAGTTTGGATAACACTGGTTGAGAGAACCTGTCCATGATGAGCAAGCATGAGGCGATAGTGGAGAGGAAAAACTCCCCATTGGGAAGAAACCTCTGGCAGAACCAGGTTCAACATGGCGGTCTTCTGCCGGACCGGTTGAAATGAGACGCGGAATGCAGTAAGAGTGAGGGAGGAATGACTGTCTGATGAAGCTTTGGCTACGATGGTGGAGGAGGGGCTGGAGGCGGGTTGAAACAGGATCATCTGAATGAAGACAGCAGCACCTCTGCAGGAGCAGAAAAGTTGCCGGAGGCCTTTTAAGATTAACTTTCGATGCCTTTTGATTGGTTTTCATGGAGGTGTGGTTCCAAGCTGATTGGCTGCGTTGTAGGTGGATGTAGTCGAGAAATCAGTTTCTTCAGTTGAACTTCCGCCTATAGGTAGGCTCCATATTAAAACAGTATGACTGCTAAAAAATAGTCTGTGTTGTTTAGGAAATTATTAATTCAATTAGAGCGATATAAGCATATAAAAAGATGTAAGTCCCTTTGAAGTTATTTTGATATTAATACAATGTATTTTTTTGTTATCTTTTTTTATTAGAAAAATTCAATTTAAAAGAATAGGTGCAACTATATACAGTGAACAAAAAGGATAATCAAACATTGTTATTTGTTTACAGAAAAACCAAAGAAAAACCACTAAAAGAAACTCATTACAAACCCATATCAACAAAAATACTTTCCCTTTTAATTATCTACAGTGAAAAAATTCATGTTTATGCAAAAAATAAATCAAATTGTCCAGTCCTGAAAATATTTGCATTTACTGAGCAGTCCGAAAATGTCCAGTGTACTTGAATGCACCATGACAGAGCAGCTGTCCAGGGGGAGTCTTCCTAGCAACACCAGGGTGTTGCTATATCTCACATGCTGTGCAGCGTTTTTACTCAGCGAATGTTACAGGCAGCTGGATTTAGATGCCTGCTTGTTTTCTTCAACACTTCAGCCAAAACTTTTATCACAATATACTTCCTAATTTCGGTTGTTCCTTGTTACTGAATAAAAATACATCGCGATATATATATTGATCTTGAATTATTGTTCAAGTTTGAAATGTTTTCATGTGATTAATCCAGTAATGCTGTGTTGCTCACTGCTGTTAAAAAAATAGTTACACCTACGTACCCTTTTGGTTTGCTTTCCATTGTAGCTGCATGAGAAACAACAATTACTTTAATGACCATTTAGTTTTGGTGTCACTTTTCAAATTTGCTCTACAGAAAGATATTTGCACATCAATATTCTGCATGTCTTCACATCTAAACAACACTGTATTTGTTTGGTACTTGGATGCATCCAAAATATTAGGCTGAACTGGATATTTTCATGACAAATACGTGTATCATTACGCTCTGACCTATGAATATAGTGAAGTGAGTCCACCTGTGTTTAATTTTATCTCAGTATTAATAGTTTTAGTGTCTGCCTCAGAGGTTTCTTAGAGAACAAACTCTTTCCCAAGAGAAGAGTCACAGCAACTGATAAAAAAAAGGTTGTTTTTTTAAACCAATTAGTTGTTTTTTTGTTTTTCTTTTAAAGAGAAACTAAATAAAGGGAAAAACTTGAATTAAGGCAAACAGAATATAAACGGAAACCGAATGGCTGCACAAACAAAGCATATCTGATCTAAAAAAAGAAGTGACACAAAAATGTGTGTCAGAAAAATATGACACAATATCATAAAAAAAATGTAACTGCAAAAACAGCAGAGTAGTTTTAAATGTGAACATAAACCAAACACTGAGAGAGGAAATCCAATATGAATATTGAGTTAAGACCTAAATCTAAATGACAATCTGTGGTATACCAGCTGTCATAAAGATCAGTGACTGTAATAGTAGTAAAAGGTGAGGAGTTGCCTGTGTTGTTTTGGGGTAACTATATGTCACACTTTAGATTTTTTCTGAACTTTTATCAGATGAAAAAATAATCCATACCTTTTCCTACTTCTGCTTTATCCAGAGGTATCAATTTCAGGGTGTGAAAATTTTTAAAGGTACTATAGCCCATCGATCCCGTCCAAAATTATTAGTTAGAATCGGGTTTATCTGCCCAATTCAATTCAATTCAGTTTTCTATATATAGCGCAAATTCACAACACATGTCATCTCAAGGCACTTTACAATTCAACCAGATCATCCACTCAAGTTTTCTATCTAAGAAAAACCAGCTGATTGCATCGACTCATTGACTCGAAGGCGATCCCTTACACTAAGCATGCTTATAGTGACAGTGGAGAGGAAAAACTCCCTCTTAACAGGAAGAAAGATAGAAAGATATGATAATTGTCCTCTCTCTGGAACTATAAAGGGTTATTCTCATTACTTTCCTTTCATTTAAATGTTTTTGCGATGCGTTGCAGTTTTCAAACTAAATTTACTTAATGTGAATGTCATATCTGATAAAGCCCAACTTTTCCTGTGTTTAACTTTTACTGACATTTAAATGAAAATAAATGATACATTTTGAAAATAAATGCTAAGATGTGTTAACCCTTCAGCTCAAAGCTATATTATAAAGCTGTACCCACATGCAGTTTTTTTTTTTATTAATCTGTCATCCCCCTTATTTCCAGCCTCCTTTACCTGCGGAGGACTATCCCTCAGAAGATTACCCTGGTGCAGAAACAGCAGAGGCATACGAGGATCTCAACAATACCGGACCTCCCACCCTCCCCAAGGAGTACAGTCTCAGTCATGTGAGTCGGACCAATATTCCCCGGGCCAACCTGGATCGCAGTACCCCGCCTGGATGGAACCTGACTGTGGAACCCAATGGGACCTGGGTTTTCACCAGTGAAAACTCTCCAGATCAGGTATGCAGAGTCCACAAAGTCCTCATTATAGACTGAGGAGCATTTAAATGAGGTGTTGGTTAAGATCAATGAACTTTAACATTAAATTGAATTTTTCTTTCCACAATTGTAGCAGATTATTTTACAGATTTTTGTTCCTTCTCTAGTGTTTTTTGTTCTTCCATAAGCATGGCTAAAGATAGAGCTGGAAAGAAAATTTTGGGTGGTGCCACCCTCCCTTCTAAACATGTTCAGTACGGGTAATATGGTTCAGAAAAAGTCATGGCAAGACCCAGTTTTACTTCTGAAAAGGTGCGCTGTAGGGGAAGCTTCCCTCAAAGTCTATAAAAACAAAACAATGTAATTTAAAAATAAAGTCATAAATATCTATATATCATAATATATTTTTTATTTTAATCAGTACAAGATTTAAATTGTTTGTTTTTTATGTTTTGCATTGGCTCTAAGGTTAGAAATATATTATTAAACATCAGGGAATCAATAGAAACTGGTCCCTAGGGGTTAGTGTGAAACAAGCATCCATTAAAGCTTTAATGTTCTCCAGGGGTAGCAGATTTAATTTGACTTTTGGAACCCTTTTTTTTCTTTTTCATTTGTTCTAGCTGAAAGAGTAAACCTAAAATCAATAGTATGTACAATTTAGTTAATATTATTCCTATTAATTTCCCAACTTATTTTTCATTCCTTTAAATTGCTCCAGAAGAAATCCTCTTATCACTAAGTTTCTGTTATTTTCTCTTTTTTCATGTCCCCCATTAAAAATGTTTAAAGATTTATGCAGGCAGGAAAAAGGTGAACGCTTATTTGGGTATGGATTTCAGGAAAAAAGAAAATTTAGCAACAGTCAATATATAATAGAAGGTGTTTTTTGCAAAAGGAATCATAGTTTTATAAAGATGATCGAGTCAACAATACTTCCTGTAAAACTGCTACATCATCTACATTTCCTGCTGAAGAGGTGGGGATCATTTTGAGCCAATGAATCAAGATAAACCCCTTGAAATATTATTCAAACTTCTTTGCTCAGCTGTATTTTTAGATTAGTTAATAAACACAAAAGTACACCTCTGAAAATCATTTGGGAAGGTTTGAGAGTGAAGCTTAACGTGCCTCTGTGTTTTATAAAAGCCTGCAAATCACAATTATTACCTTCAGATTTAACTGTTAGAAATCAGTGCTAATTGTAGCTAAGCATAATGCAACCATTACGGTGAGTTAAGCAAAAAAAAAAAAAAAAGCTAAACTTTTCCAAGGGACTTTGTTTTGTTGAGGTGTAGAGTAGCTGGAAATTTGCAAGGAGAAAATTAAAATCCAATCTAAAACAGCTAACTTACCACATAGCAGGTTAGTTAACACAGTTAAAAGGAGTACTTAGAGGAATTCAGCATTGATATAGTTTCCTTCATACATTTAGGTCACAGAATGAGCTGTTTCAGTTAAATAAAATATATACGTATTCATTTTTTAAACTCTCTTTATGTGACTAAAAGTACTGGATGGGATGGGGCATAATGTTTGTACTTGTAACAATAAAAACGGTCTGTAAAAATACAAACATTATGGTAAGTTAAATGTCTGCTTCACGTCTGACCTGCATTGTTTCTCTGATGCTCACAGCTGCCATTATACTTTGTATCAGTGAGAAATATCTAGTGTTGTATTATTCTGGTACAAAAGAAAGAGATAAAACTTTTTTTTCTTTTAAACGGAGGAGAAACCTGACCTCTTCCTGTCCTTCTTGGATCCTGTATCATGTTACAGGATAATAGGAAAATATCTCATTGGTTAATATGAGTTTATTAGTCATAAATGCAATATTAATACCCATATTAACATTGGCCAATCTTGTGTAATCAGTGCATCACTAATCTATTTGGTTTTGACTTCTAACATAGGTTATATACCTTGTAAGATCACCAACTGTTTAAAAAATAAGTGAATCTTTTCTATTATCGCATTTTTTTGTTTAAAAATAGGTTACACTATACATTTATTAATTTGTGTAGTTGTAATATATACAGCAAAAATATTCCAGTTAAATATATTTCTGTTGTTTAACAGTGGATAAAGTCTGTAGATGATCAGGGGCAGACCTACTACTACCTGAGGGATGGCTCCAAGTCTGAGTGGAATCTACCTGAGGTGAAGATCCTGCACTACTTTAAAGACATGTTCTCCAAATTAAGTCAAGAATGAACATTCTCTGTCAGTTTTCATTGTTTATGGTGTTAATTTTACTTTTGGACCTGTAGGCCCCAGGAGCTCCAACACACTCCAATGTGCAGAATGGTGATGAGAACGAAAATGTCCACATCATCAAAAACTGGAGAGAATCGAGGGCACCTGCTCAATTCTCCACTAACCAGGAAGATGGGGTACATGCATGAGCACACTCACACCCTGACAGACTCAGCATGTGTGCAGGAACTGTGTAACACTTCCAGGGTGTGTCCAACACCTAAATATAAAGCTCTAGTTATGCAGTAGGCAAGTAGTGTGTGGGTAAGTCTGTGTTTATCCGCCAACATCGGAAAGGTTTAACCCCTATTTAGCAAGGCAAATCTACTTCATAGCTCTCTGATTTAGGGAGAGGCAACATTTGCACAAAACCTGTGGAGTTTCTGGCCACAAATACAGCCTTTTGCTTTTCCTTACTACAAAAAGCAGGATCTAAAGGTTGAACATTTTGTTGAAGGGCACAGCTGGGGATGACTTAAACTGAAAGTAATACATTTATTCAGGCGACTGATAATGAGGACACAAAATTTAAACACTAAATATTTTAAGGTACAAATAAGAACCTCTTAGAAAAGAGATCACTGAAGGATAACAACCTTGCATGTGTACCCAGATAAAAGAAAAGCCCAAATTTCCCTCTGGTTAATTGCTTTCTAAATTTGACCTGAAAAAATTATATATATATATATATATATATATATATATATATATATATATATATATATATATATATATATATATATATATATATGTCTCAGCATAAAAACTAAATTAAAATAAAAAAGCATAAATTAGGATTTTAATATAATGTTCAAAACCTGGTCCTTAAAGACACGAACAGCAGGCATTTAATGGCTGTTCTGCATGGCTAGGCTTTAATTAAATTAGCAGTTAGCTTGCTTAGCATTTAGCTTAGCACCTAGCTTCAATCTGGGGTATTTTTACTCCATGAAAATAATGAATCAGAAAGTTGTGATTAGCTTGAAGGTAAAATAGATCTTTGCGACTTTTTGCACTGAATTTCTTTTCTAATTTTGTCGGTTTTTCCAAATGATTCTTGGTTCAGAGCAGAATGCAGAAAATGGCCTTTGCTGTTATGTCCTCTGTTGTAGGGCTGGGAAATGCAAAAATAATAATATGTTTTTTAATGACACCTAGTCAATATAAGTACAGAATTATGAAGGACTAATAGGGCCAGGCTAGAGTTTTTTTTTTTTATTTAAGAAAAAAGTCGTAACATTACGTGAAATAAAAGTTCTAATATCACGAGTATAAATTCATATCAGTACGAAAATACAGTTGTAACATTAGGAGAATAAAGTTGTAACATTAAAAGAATAAAGTTGTAATATTACGTGAATAAAGTCGCAACATTACGAGAATGAAGTCGTAACATTACGAGAATAAGGCTGTAACATTGCAAGATTAAAGTTGTAATATTACGTGAATAAAGTCGTAACATTACGAGAATAAAGTTGTAACATTACGAGAATAAAGTTGTAATATTAAGTGAATAAAGTCGTAACATTATGAGAATAAGGCTGTAACATTACAAGAATAAAGTTGTAATATTACGTGAATAAAGTCGTAACATTACGAGAATTATTTTTAGAAAGAACACTTCAAGCTCCGACCAGCATATAACAGCCGACCAGCTGCAACAATCAGCAACCTGAGTTCAATGTGCCCAATGTGATGCCGATGCTAAAAGATTTCCTTATTTATGAAACCAGAGCCAAAGTATAACTTCACGTAATTCTCGACATTCCTCATTTTAGGGCTTTTTGTAAGAGCTGTCACAAAATACAACTTTTCTCTCATAATTTTAGGACTTAATTCTCTTAATATTGTGACTATATTCTAATAATTGTATTACTTTATTCTCATAATGTTATGACTTAATTCTTGAAACAGAAGAAAAGAAATCTCTAGCCTAGCCCTAATATGCCGTCGTACAAAATACATCCAATAGAATGGTTTTTAATCCCACTGAGTCCCAGTCCAGAACTGCACGGCATTCTGGGGGATGTAGGCAGCAGAACACCTCTAAGCTAAGCTAAGCGTGGTTAAAGGTAGGGCTGACTTTTTTTTAAAGCAAATTTGTTACTTTTAGATAGGGTTTTGGTTACAATTTAAATTCAACCTTTGCTTTTCCCGATTGTTAATTCAAATAAGGGTTGGCCTAGTGGTCAGAGCTGTGCGCTTGTGACCTGAGAAGGTTGCAAGTGCCCGGCTCGATCCCCACAGCCTGCACTCTGGGTTCCTGAGCAAGACCCTTAAATGGGTTAAATGCAGAGGTGAATTTCCCCATTGTGGGACAATAAAGGCACTTACCTTACCTTACATGACAAAACAGTTGTCTATAATTTAAAAGTCTTAAAGGGTAATATATTTATCAACCAGTGACACAGCCCTTTTGTGTTGGTTCATTATTTTTTACCAAACTGACTGTAAAATCCTCTTCTGTGTTCTGATTTAGAGGTTTGTGCAGACTCATCTGAGGAACACATCAGACCACAGCAGCGATAGCTCCAGTACAGGAAACTCTCCAGAGCATTACGTAAGTCAACCATTTGCTCTTCCATTCCAGCTGTGTGACAGTCAGTAATCTAAACCTGTTGACTCTCTGTAATCTGCCCCCGTATCTAAGTTGTGTGTTTTTGTTTTTCTTCCTTAAGGCTTTTGATTTTAGACCCTGGAGAAATCCTTATTATTTGACCTCAAAGTGGCTGCGCTACAATGTGGGTTGTTAGTTTAAGCGCTCACCTGAGCTTTAGACATAGATAGCAGCAGCTATCTATGATGAGCAAAAGGTGTGACCATAAATAACATAATAAGCTTTTTTTCCACATTTTCCATTCATGATTAATTTATTTAAATCACTCCACCTTTTATTAGTAATCAGTATTTTCCCTGCAAGAATATAAACAAACCGCCTCATCTGGGCTCGGTATCAGTTCCATGTCAACCCTTGATATCAGTTCAGGAATTCAGTGTTATGTGTTTCTAAAAGCAGAAGCACAGTTTAAATATTTTTGCATCAGGATTCTAATATAAATTTTGGTTAACAAAATATCTGTAATGAAAACTAAGAATAGATCAGTTGATTTATTTGTAAGAACTAATTATCTTTTGCATCCTAATGACTTAGAGATTCGATATTCTCTTGACTTCAAGATTTTATTTTTTTAAAAGAAAGTGATCTGAGGCATGTCTTTTTTTTGTAACGCAGATGGCAAAATGTCGCAGCTGTTTACACATCAGTGCTTTAAAGCATATTCTGTGTATTGCTGCTCTGAACGCATCTTTGCACAGCTCTCCTCCAACCTCCTGACTTTAACTTCCTGCTTTTCAGCTCAGTCTAAAAAGTACTTTGTTGGCTTATAAAACAAGTTATGACTTAGCTATTGTTTCATTAAAAACTGAACTTTCTTTAAAGGGTTAGGGTGAGGTGAACATAGTGAAAACAGTCTAAATTAGAAAGCTCCATTTCCCCATTAGTGAAGCTGTTTGCAAAGCTGCACTTTAAGTTTCACTTTCAGTAAGTGCTCTTTTGTTTTGGTGGGTGAGTCTCAGTTTACGCAACATTTCAACCCTTTAGTTTCTACTGACTGTGTGATGTTTTACTTTAGAACGTAACATTTATCGTTGAATATCTATACTAATATAAAGTTACTTACATCAGGTGATTGCTGCTAAATAGGCGCTATTTAAAACCAATCACCCTGCAGGACAAGACGCCTTGTGCTTGCCTTAAGTGTTTATCTGCAAACTTCAGATGTTGATTTCTGTGGTCAGGATGTAAATGTTTTTGTCCCTTTGCAGATGTAACTACACTGCAACTGTTGCAAAGTGAAAACAGTTTTTGTTTTGTTTTGTGCAGTTGGAAAATTGTCTCTTTCATCCCATCATTTCATGTAAGCAAATACAAAAAAAAAAAAGTCAAAAAGATTAAATATTGTAATTTCTGAATAAATTGCAGGTACAGAACTTGGAAAAAGCTGGAATTCTTAATAAAACAAAAGTTTGTGAGAATGGAAAGAAAGTTAGGTAAGTTGCAATGTTGCTGTTTTTCTTTCACAACTTTTATGTTCTTGTGTTTCTTTTGGGTTTTTTTTATGCACCTAAACAGTATAAACTTAGATTTTTATTAACTACATCAAATGAAAAGCATTAATTCAGATGCATAAAAAATATTAGATGCAACATTTGTACATGCTGTTCTATAAGCACATTTACTACTTGCAGGGGTATTCTTTCTGCATAATGCTATTGTGCTTTGCAGAATGGAGGCCATAAGCCTTCAGTTTTGCTGAGGTGTTCAGGAACCTAAATTTAGAGGTGAGGTTATTTAAAAAACACCTAAAATGTAACACCCCCCATAAAAAACAAATTAAAGTGCTATAAAAACAACATTTGAAATGCAAGATAGAAATATGTAGAGTAAAGGCAAGTTTTTTAACCCTTTATTGTCCAAGTTACTGTTTTTGGTAACTTGGACAATAAATAAATATAAACACCACTTTGCGGCAAACGGGGCTAAATAGTGATGTTAAACATGGTCTGCAGGGTCCACCTCTGTCTCAAAGCTGACACTTCAGTTTAAAACGTAATAAGCTTAGTAAAAAAAAGCTAATTTAAAAGGTTAAAAAGCTGATTTAATAATCTAAGTTAGTACAAAAAAGGTGAGAAAAATGGTTTCTTTCTTTCTTTCTTTCTTTCTTTCTTCATATAGACGCACTTTTTGATTTTGTTTTTACGATAATAGGGCACGTTTTTTTTGCAATTATATTGTTAATATTTCTTATGATGCTATGCTCTGACAGAAAGGCTGGAGGCTGGATCAATTTAATATTTTACCCTGACAGTTAGTTTTAATAGTTTTTTAGGAATTTGGGTGTGTCACTTTAAGCTGGCAGTGTGGGAAGGTGCCAAGTGAAAACTTGTGAGCAGAGGGAAGCCTGGCGTGACTTAACCTTTCCAAATTCGGGCTTGAATAAACATGCATTGGTCCAACACCTGCAGATCGAAACAATCTGGGAACCTCAACCTTCACTGTTCCTGCCGACTCATAATAAAACCCAAAGGGGAGAATGGCTGCCAGTTGTTCCTTTTGTTATTTTTTTTGTTCCTGTGGCTAAACTTTCCTTTAAGGTGCTTGGAAACAGCAATCTGTGAACTCTGGCATTAAAGCACTATGCTGTCATCTTTTATTAGCCAGAATGATCAAAATCACATGTAGTTAAGTCTGAAACTGTAATACCCTGCTTTTAATGAATCTAAACAATAAGATTAATAAGTGAGATAGATAAACTGATGTTTTTTACATTGTCTTTTGGGTTTTTTTGCAGGAAAAATTGGGCTCCAACATGGACTGTTCTTCACGGAGGAGTCCTGACATTTCACAAAGACCCCAAACCCTCACCAGGCGCTGTGGTAGGGTCCACACTCTATTATACTCGCTAGAAAGGCACAATATGTTTTGTCTGCGAATTAAATGTACACTTTGCAGCCCTTTAAGAAAACAGATGAAACATTGCGGCGCAGCCTTGGCTTTTGTGTCAGAGGACACACAGTAGACAAGCCTTCGTGCCGCAAGTGGCGACAACAGCTATTGTTTAAACTGCGGCTCGCCTCCTGGAATGCAGTGCAGTAAGTTTGGCAAACAGCTGGATAATTTTTTGGTTTTCACCCTGCAGAACAGGACCAATCAGATTGTTCCAGAGTTCACGGTGGATCTGAAGGGCGCTACGATTGGCTGGGCCACCAAGGACAAATCCAGTAAAAAGAATGTTTTAGAGGTGTGTCTGTTTGTTGACACTGAAAGCATGCTGAGAGTACTATTGCATGGATGGTTTTAACTTCAGCAAATAAAACCCAAATCAAATGTAGTTATAAAACACTAAAGAGCTGAGATTTGAATCATTGAATAGCAACTTTGATTAAATCCTCTTTCCTTTCCTCTTGTCAGCTCAAAGGGAAGAACGGTGTGGAGTTTCTCATCCAGTACGACATAGAAAGCATTATCTTCGACTGGCACAAAGTTTTAACGGACACCATTCGACAGCTCGTAAGTCTGCTCAGCGACCTGAACAGCTGCTGGAAATAGTTGAGCAAAACAAAAAACAATCCAGCTCTTATGGGAATGTTTTGAATTTGCAAATTAGGATTGCTTAATCTTTCCAGCACACAAGGACTGATTTTACACTTCTGCTTATATTTACACGTAAAGCCATACGCAGAAAATGGTGAACTTTTCATAAAACGAGGAAATGGGAGGAACAACGTTGGCTGGGTTAAAAAGAGCCATTCTGCCTCCTCTTAATCTCATTGAACATCTTCAGTTTTGTTTACATGGCTTCTGCACGGTCAGAAAAATCCGTATAAAGGGCTGGATAGAAAGATCATCACTACATAGAGCTGCTGAAGCGAACAACGCAGGGGCTCTTTCTGCAGAGCATTTCTGCTCCTTATTGTCTTTATTTATTTTTACATTTATGCTCTTTATTTAAAACTAAAACCTTCTTGTTAAGGTTTTGTTTATTTCAACGTAAAGGAGAGTGAATATTTAAAAATTCTTTTTTTTTTTTAAATGAGTTAAAAAGGGCCTTAAAGTTAACACCTCAAAAGGTTTCAACTTTTTCTGCTCTTCCATCTCAGAAATGTCATTTTACTTGGTTACATTATAAAAAGGGTTGTTTCTTTGCTTCGGGCATCAATAGTTTTTTTTTTTTGTATTTTCATGTGATTCATATTTTTTCTAGATTTAATCATACATTCTATGTGTTTTAGATCTTATTAAATTTGGTTTTGTAACAAAAGTAGAAGGAGATTTTGGGGCAAATCTGCTCATGAAACTGGCTTCTTGTTCTTCTGTTGAAGAAAATCAAATAAAAAAATTCCAGTGACCTTTTCATTTTATTTTTCCCTAGAAGGATTTCATAAAGGTTAGACTATAATAAACGACACATTTTTATAACTGTTGGTGTCGACCAGAGCCTGAAAAACAATTCAGTTAAGAATATTTTCTACAGAAGCATTTGACTCATGTAGAGCTGAGATAATTAATTTTTCAAAAATTTAACAAATAAAAAAAGGAAGGAACATTTGCTCTTTGATTTTGGTATATTTTTTAGGATGTTATTTAATAACTTATCTGAATTGTGTGGTAGACAGAAATACATTTTAATCAAACAATGTGAAGACCCCCTTCCTGCACATGTCATTCTCCTGGTTTTTGCTTTACTGTTTCTGAGAGTTAAAATGTCTTCTTTTTATCTGACTCTTGGTATCAGATAAAATAACAGATCTTTCTGCTTTTAATTATAAAATTATACTAGTAACGAATGCCGCAATGGTACTACATCATAAGATATCTAGTGTTGAAAGAGTAAACGGCACCTAAACGCAGACCAAAATATTCTGAGAATCTATCAGTGACAATGATTGTGAATTTGCACGTTTTATGACTTTCCTCTCCTTCCTCTGTCTGTCAGGACTACCAGGACCACCCGTCTGAGGAAGAGGATGGAGACCTATATGAGAAAATCGTAGAACGAGACATCAAGCCTGCAGTTGGAGCAGACAAAGTAAAACGTAGGTTAACATTTTTAGGAAAAAGCCTCCAATTCAAACTGATCTGGATTCAAGCTGGGAACAAAACGCAGAAGAGTCAAGATGACTAGAAGGACTCAGGTATGCAGGAAGATAGTTCTAAATTCAAGAGCTTAGCAGTTAACTTTTCTCCTACCTGTGGACAGGAGAGCAGATCTTGCATCTTTAACCTGCCTGCATAGTCATCGTTCTTCCCCCTCCACTAACCTACCTAGATGTCTGGTTCGATCAGTTACTCACCTTTGACAGACAACCTTATAAGGAATCCATCTCCACAAAATCTCCCAGATCTGTTCAATTTTTACCAATCTGACACTCAAAAACTTATCCATGCAATTCTATCTTCCAGATTGGACATTACGAGTTGATCACTTCCATCCTTTTCTCCTTCCATTGGCTCCTACTCCCAATATTAGATTATTCTACTCACCCATAAAACCAGGAAAGGTCCATCCTATCTATTAGCCGTTTCCTCAGCTGGTCCAGGGGCCAGCATCTCCTGGTCCCCTTTGCTACGCTCCCTGCTACGTTTGGCAGAACACGTTCTCACCTCCACCTAAAGGAAGCAAAGTCTAGATCCTTTTAAAGTTGATTTTAAGCCATTTTATTTAGTAAATATTCTTATTGTTAAATCTATTTTACTCTTGTGTTGTTTTTTTCCCTTGGAATAAATAAATGCATTATAGATTAAATGTAATATTGCTAAATTAGCCACTTTAGCTTTAAGACCAAGATGGTGAAATAACTGAGTAACCTTTAGAGATAAGTTGAAGACCTCTGGGATTCATGCAGAGCTTATAAAGCCTCTGCTTCTCGATATTAACAGGAGGAAAGGTGGTTCTGGTATCAGCATAGGACACTTGGTTGCATTGATCTTGAAAGCATTAACTCTGGGACAGACTCAGAGTCCACTGGAAGGACTGTATGTCCCTCTGGCCTGGGAACGCTGGACCCTTATACACTTACACAGGCTTTACAGAACTATATTTGCAACAAAATCTTGAAATATCTAGTTTGTTTTTAGCCCAGAGGCCAAGCGTATCGCAGTCCCCCAGCGCTGCGGGGGAAACGGATCCAAAGAAGGTTCGGACCAAGCTCATGAAGTTCCTCATGAAGCGGCCAACGCTGCAGTCGGTCAAAGAAAAGGGTTATTTCCGAGGTCAGTTCATTCCAGGATGCTTAGATAATGATCTTATCAATAGCTAATAAAAATAACACCCCATTTGCATTATCAAATATTCAATGTTTTATTGTTTTAGGTGCATTTTAACCTCTTTAGGTTTTTTTAGGTCTTTAGTTTCAATGTGTGACATTGAATTTGACACAGGTAGAAAATATAATAAGAATAGACTACAAAAGTATAAAAATAATATGTATGGTTGAAAATGTTATGCCGGTATTTGTGAGGTTTAATCGATATATCTCCAATGTTTTGGTTTGCTTTTCTTTGTCCCTAGCTGAGTATTAAAAGGCTTTTTTATGTATTTTTTTGTCACGCTGCTAAAAATAATGTTCTACTTTTGTTTAGAAAATGTGTTTGGTTGTCATCTGGCCACGCTGTGTGCTCAGGAGAGAGCCACCATTCCTAGTTTTGTGGAAAAATGCGTTAAAGCAGTAGAAAGGAGAGGTAAGTGAGTTAGAAAGGCTAAATAATGATAAAATCTTTATTTCTTTTAAATGAAACGACTTATTGAGAGGAGCTGCTGTGTTGATTTACAGGTTTAGACATTGATGGGCTGTACAGAGTCAGTGGGAACCTTGCTGTCATACAGAAGCTTCGCTTCAAGGCGGATCATGGTGAGCTTCCTTAATGATGTCTTTTAAATTTAAACAGCAGCGCCCCCTGCTGTGTTTTAATAGTTTGTGCTTGTTGCATTATCCAGAGGAACTGGACCTTGAGGATGGTCAGTGGGAGGATGTTCATGTCATTACCGGAGCACTGAAATTATTTTTCCGAGAGCTTCCTGAGCCTCTATTCCCCTATAGCCACTTTAACAGCTTCATTGCAGCCATAAGTGAGCACATTTTCACTCCTTATTTTATCAATAATTTTGCAAAACCTCTTGTTTTATTTGAAGGATTATATTAAAGATTGCTCTATATTTACAAAGTATTAACTGATAACTTATTTTGCACCATTTTCCTAGGAATTGCAGATTACAGCACAAAACTGTCTCACATTTTTGAGCTGGTTAGATCACTTCCTCCTGCAAACCATGATACTATGAAGCTGCTTTTTGGGCATTTACAAAGGTTTGATTTTTTTTCTACTTTTGCTAATTTTATAATGCTAATTTGACAATGTCATTCAAAAGTTTTTACCTCACTTTCACCAAAAATTGTACTCGAGATTGAATCTAACTTTAAAAAGTGGGGCATTTATTTTTAACCTCTTTTAATTTAGAACCATGAAATAATTGCAATCTCTTGCCTTTAGAGGGAAATCTATTTTCCTGCAGGAGATATATTTTTGTGGTGGGGCTGATGGGTGACTTGTAGTTTTTTCTTTGAATATCAGGGTAATTCAATACGGTGAGAGCAACCGGATGACTGTGCAGAACGTCGCCATCGTGTTCGGCCCAACGCTGCTTCGGCCGGAGACGGAGACAGCGAACATCACCATGCATATGGTCTTCCAGAACCAGATTGTGGAGTTCATCCTGAATGAATACAACCGTCTGTTTAGCTGAAGCTGAACAGTCATGCACATCTGGACGAACGTGTAAAAAAGTGCTAGACTTTTTGTTTTCTTTTTTTTTTTTTAGATTTCCCATCGTATGCACATCAGCAGCTTTAGTACCACATGTGAAATAAAAAATTTATGGAATAAATTAAAAGTGCCGTTGAAATTAAGCTGCCAAGATAAGGGATTTGCTCTGTATGTTTGTTTTTTTTTTGCCTGAGGACGTTCGCACTGTCAAACTCTCTGTTCCAGTATTGTAGGAATAAGTCTGAGCTGCACTGATTTTACTTTTCTTCAGTAAAAGAAGCACTCTGTGTCAAACTGCTTTCAGAATCTAAATGTTCGAAAACTGCTAAAGCCACTTTCTCCTATTTGATGCTTGCTTTTCTCGTCTTAGATGAAGTAAAAATGTCCAAATCAGTTTGGTAAAACCTGGGAAGCATTAACGCTGTCTTAAATGAGCTTTTATCTTCTTTTTTTTAAGCATTTAATCTCTTTCTAACGTTTGTTTAGGATCTGATGTTACATGATATCAATTCTGGTAATAATTGTTATTGTATTCTTACATCTTCCATTTTTTTCCTCTAATTCTTCCCATTAAATTTACTGTAATATAGAAATGTATAAATAGATGAAATTATTGCCAACATGTTTGTGTGAAGTAGAAAATGGATTAGATGTAGATTGTAAAAGACTGGCAGAGTATTTTTTCAATTATGCTGTACCTGAAGAGTTTTTAAGATAAAACAGTGAGAAGAAATAGTTATATATTAACAGATTGAAGTCAACTTAATCTAACAGCCAACAGAAAAGAGGAAATTAGCATAACTATATGTCCTGTAAATAGTAATAAATGGTATAGTTATGCTGCAAGCTGGTGGAAAAAAAGCATAAATTCTTTCTATAATAAATTAACTTTTGAAAAAAAAATCAAGGTTTTCTTTTTTCTCTTTTAAAATGTGTCAGATATTTATTGTTGTATGTTAAATTTGTGGCTGCTCCGATTCTATGAGGCCCTTGGAAGAAGTTCATTAGCGGCCCACTTCCAGCTGCACCTATCAGAGTTTTTACAAACTGGGAGGGGAGGCGAGTTTTAATGTTATGCCCACAAGCAAGCATTGGACAAAAAGGCCAGTAGTTGTTGAATCTACCAACAAACACCAGTTCAAAAAGAAGTAAAAGAAACCTAAAAAAGTTAGTACATTTATTTAAAATTGTGATATTTTTCAAATGAGTAGCTCTAAGTAGAGTAGTATCCCTGTAATTGAAAGCAAAAAAGCGAAGTCATCAATTTCATTAGGTACATGTGATAAAAAAATGTATTTCGGTAAATACTGGTGATTATTTCTTATGCAAATCTAAAATACTGTTTCTCTAAAAATATAAATATGATGTACTGTTCACCAGTTCATTATAATAGCTCAAAGTATTTGTTCATACGTACAGAAACTTGGGTCACTTGAAAAGTATGTCCACATAATGTGCTTTATGTCTATAGTCGGCAGTCGGCATGGAGGTGATCTAGCTGTGGTTCTGCTGAGGTGATGACAGAAGCTCAGGTTGCTTTAACAGTGGCCTTAACCCTTTAAAGCCTGATCCAAGAATAAAACAAAACAGAAAAAAACTTTTTTTTGGTTTGAATTCCTTATTTGCCCTTTTAACAAAATATGTAAAAAGAAAAAACAGAAATACATTTTTGATATTAATTATTACTATGCGATAAGTCAAGATTATTTTTTGTGTAGTCTTCTACTGGCTGTTATCATGTATATCTGATTGTGTACAATAGGATTTTGAGCAAAGTTTTTACCATTAAATTATGCAAAAGGTGTCAGATGCAAAACATTTCAGAAACCGTTTGTATCAAATTCAATACATGTGGCATTATAGGGTTAAGCTCATCTGCATCACTGAACCTGGTGTCTCTCATCTTCACTATACTTAACACCTGTTGTTGGAATTTTTTAATGTACAGCTTGTTAAGAACAAGTAAAATAACAGAGCAAATGTTTGCAGCCACAATAATTCAGAATGGAAGAGAAGGACTATTTTTACTCCCTTACAAGCAGAAGATTCTTACATTATAACTTTGGCAAAGTAAAGCACAGGTTCTCGGTCTACCCAGAAGTTTAAGGCAGGATTGTCAAATAATCTTACCCATTTTTTAAAACAAAAATAAGCAACTTTAATTTTATGGGTTAGAAAGTAACCTATAGTATTTTTATAGCTATCCAAATGAGTATAACCATTTAGTGTTTTAGTTTTACTTTTCACATTTAGACTTAAGCAAAGGTTACAGAATGAAGATAAGCAAATGTCCTTACTCTACAGAGAAATGTATTCAGCTTAATGGGCCTGCCACCAGTTACACCAGTAAATATGACCTAGTTAATCTGCTAATTGACCAAATATGATATCTGAAAGTTTAAAATAGCATTTCTAGCTCTGACCAGTAGATGGGAAACTGCGAACATCTTCCCAGTGATGATTCCACTCACTTTTAATGTATCTAAATAAATTTGCTTTAAATTTTAAGAACGGTTTCATGGAAAACTTTTTTGAAACAGTGGTGTCTTTTTATCTTTTATGGATATTTGGCACATTTTTACTTCGCTGTTTGTTCTGTATGGTTTGATTATATTCCAAATATGAAAGCAATGTTAAATGTAAGTAATTTAGTAGTGTAGAGTGTTATGCTCTTGTTAAGATAAATGATAAATTTGTTAAATATCAACTTAATGACACTGGACTGATGAATGATGTCCTCAGTCATCTGGGTCATAGTCATTCCAAAAAAAGAAAATTAAAAACAGTACATAATAAATATGTCAATCAATAAATAGGTCTTCAAATTTGTGAACAAAGTCCTTTTTTTTTTTTTTTTTTTTTATAAATTACACTTATTTTACGTGAACAAAGTCCAGTGGATTGTTTTTATTTTTATTTTTTTTTTGAATAAATGACAATTATTATTAAAAATAATCTCTTGTTACAGATAAATATATTTTTATCGTAGGTTTGCACTGAGTAGACCTATACAACTTAGTGTTAATCAGTGACTCAGTGTTATTCTAATTCTAATACGAAATACTAAAAAAAAGAACTAATATAAAAGAAACAAACATTTAAAAAAATCTTATTAGGTGCTTTAGCAGTATTAATCGAAATGCTTTAAAACAATCTGCTGACTTATGTTTGCTCAACCTCCTCAGCGACTGTAGGAATTGGGTCTATGTTCCTTTCCCCGGAACGGAACTACCTAGGTGGTTGGATGTTCTTCCGGACACTAACAGCTGTGAACACCGCATCCACTGCGATGAGTTTTGAGTGGCCCTGGCAGTATAATTTCCCACCGTTTTTTACGTGAGTCGGATTTATATTAACCACTTCATAAACAGAGCGTCCAAACACATTTGTTTTTATTATTTTCAATATTTTTAGCTTCACTAAGTCGTACTGATTTTTCGGACCTGGCTTCACGTTAGCAAGCTAATTTTGGCTAAGATTGCTAAGGAAGTAATTTCACCCTCACAGTTGTATTTTTTAAAGTAAATCATACAGCCACTCCTGGCATATTTCAGTTGCAGATTTATATTGAGGCCCGTGCAAATAACTTCTTGCATGGAAATAAGTTTTTTTCGCAGGTTTGCTCTGAGTGGAAAATATGTTTTATAGGATCTTTGACCGCTAACATCCCACCATTATGGAGTCATTTAACTCTCATATCGTTACAAATATATAACCAATAAGTAAATAAGTATAAATATATTGCTCTTGTCTTTGGTTTAAGTTTGTTTGAATAGCTATTTTCCTTAAAAATTGAATAACTTGAAATTATATCTAGATCGCTTATTTTTGTATTGTTAAAATAAGTTTGATTATCTATAACTCTTAATTTTAATAAGGAAAACAGAATTTTTTTAAAGATTGGCTAATGTTTTTCCACAGCATTGTATTGGTAGGGATATAATGTACATTTGATCAGGTAGATAAAAGTCTGATCCATAAGTACCTGATAAAGTCCACATTTTCTTCAGGAATATCAATTACAACTCTTATAAACAAACAAGTAAACACAAAAAAACATGTAGCACTTTAATTTATTTACTGTACATTTTTGGATGCACTGATTAGGCCGGGGGGTAAACTCCAGTCCTCAATAGCTGATGTCCTGCATCTTTTAGGTGAATCCTGACTGTTGATGACTTGAGTTTGACACACCTTGATTATTTTTATCTTCTCTTTGCTGATTTCCAGTTAATTAAGTATGAACATAAACACTATTATAAATCAAAGCAAAAAAAAACAACAGCTTTTTTTGTTAATGCATTCACTGATACAAAATGTGTTTTTCTACTCCTCAAAGCTTAACATTAACTGCCAATTGCTGTGAAAGCCAACCAATCTTTCCATCAGTCTCCAACGGATCGATTGGCAAATTAAAGTTGTTTTGCAATTAGGATTTCATATATTTACTTGTTTTGTTTTTTTTAACAAATGTTGTGCAAATGTGTCTTTATGGCTTAAGCAGAATGGCCTAATCAGATTTAAATGAAAAACGGAAGTATATATTGGCCAACCCAAAAAAATTCACTGATCTGTTAAACTTCATTTTTTGAGAGAAAAGTTCAAATCAGACCAAAAAACAAGTGCAGGGCTTTTTAAATGGTTGTCATCTTTTAGTGTAAGTTGCATAAAGAAAAAAATAAATGTAAAATTTCCCAAAAAAAACTGAAAGAAACCCTCCAGATAAATTTTATAGATTTAATCCAGCGATAATTACTTATTAAAATTGTTAAAACCAAAACATCCATTTTATAAAAAATACCACAAATGATCCCCTATATGTAGTGTTTCTAATAACAAACATTTTTAATAGTTTTAATGAAAAAACTTTCCATTAGTTTTGCTTTCAAATGGATTTGCCCTAAAATATGAGTACGTCTTTTTTTGTTTTTTTTTCCCTTGCGGACAGACTTCAGCCCAATGTTGACACGAGACAGAAACAGTTGGCGGCCTGGTGTTCCCTGGT